TAGATGAGAAATACCTTTGACTTCTACAGAGTCCCTACTCTGTGTCTTGGAATATAAATCACTAGGGATTGATGAAAACCCAGCACACTCATTGTGAACTCTGCCAATGAAAGGCAGTAATTTAAAAACTCAATCTCATTGATTAGAATAGAGTTCACAATGATTAGTGATTAGTACCTCTTCTCCTTCCACCCCAACATATTCAACTACCTCAATCTTTTACTACAAGTTCAAGTGAGATAAATGTAAAACTTACCATTTGTGAAATCAAAGAGATCTTATCAATTATTAAGTTGTTGGGAAATGCAATCTTAGAGTCTCCAGATTGAATTGAGAACAAGTATTCACCATTGAAAATCTTACTAGCTTATTTTATCATCTCAGAACCTTCCCACTTCATCTTGCATCTTAGTTTTCAATTACTTCCTAATCTTTGTAGCTTCCCTTTGAATATTATGCCTTTTTTTCACGTGTGAAACAAAAGAACATATTCTTCTAAAAGTGATACTAAAACCAACTGCAACTCCCACATTTTCTTTTTGTTTATTCTTAGTTTTATGCATTGTTGCCTGGTTATTTTAGTTACTCATTAGCTATTGTAATCCCTAGAACTTTTTGTTCTGTTTTTGTAACTCACCATTCTGCTAATCTGCATTTATGCAAGTGTATAGAGACATACAAACATACATATATGTATATATACACACCTCTGGGTGAAATCACAATTCTAGTTGTAGGTATAAATGTATACATATACATATGCATGTTTATGTACGTGCTTGTGTTTATATATATATGTGCACATATATATATATGAACATGTATGTTGCATTTTTTTCCAATAGTCAACCAAAATGTCATGTTGGGTTCTAGACATTTTCTGAGCATAGTTCTTAATGTTTAAAGAAAATTGAAATCTTATTTTTATTGTAGTTCTTTGATAAGGAAAATCATCTCTGAAAAGAAAATCTTACCTAGATTTTCATTTGTTTAAAAAGGGGAAAGCAGAATTCTGAGGATACTAATGTGGATAAAAGAAACAGCTAATTCTGTAATTTCTGTGTGATTAGTAGTAATTTCACTGAAGTTTGACCCACTTCTATCCAGTTCTTAGATGACTAAGTAAAATCTGAAGGATGTTGAAACCATACATAAAAAATCAATAAGGTAATACTGATTATTCAGGGAATTCATTATTTTATAAAATCAGTAGCATATTTTCTAAAATTAAACTACTACCCAAACAAAAATTTTCATCATACATACATGACAAAAAGGATATCAGAATTTTGAAATTATCTAAAATCATCATGTAACGAGATTACACTTACAGCTGCACCTGCTGGTGATGTAATCTATCACAACTATGTAACTCTAAATGAATGCATTTTACTCTTTCATGTACTAAAAATTACAAATATGAATGGAATTTAAATCTTTAGTTTTGAGAAAGTTTATCTACTTATATATTTATGTAACTATAATGTTTACTACATATTGGTCGTCGATTGCCTCGAGCAGGCCCCAGTAACGTCTCTTTCATCCTAGCCCTGAGATTATATTCAAGGCTATTTAGGAGAATGAGACCCATCATTGTTACTGGTATTTGGCATATTTGGTACGCCACGGGGAGTTTGCCAGACTCTGCCCTGTGGGCAGGCTACATTCGATAGCCTGCAAGACATATTGGTATGTTTTTAATTTATTAAAGATTAATGTAGTGGGGCTGAGTAATAGTACAATGAATAAGGCTTGCATGTGACTGGCATAAATTCAACCCCTGGTACCACATGTTTTTCCAAGTCTGTCAAGAGTGATGCCCTGAGCACAGGGCCAGGAGTAAGCTCTGAACACAACTGAATATGACTCAAAAACAAAAACAAATGAAATTGCTACATATAAATTCTACATTTTATTTATAAATAAAGTAATGTATTGGGGAAATAACGGGGTTTCTGAGCTGGTTTTGTTTAAAATATGCTCAGTTTCCCACCACCCCTTCCACACTATTAAAAAAAAAAGATGAGTAAAATAGTGCTTCAGTAAAAATATGTAATAATTTCTTCTTAGTGGTTGAATTTTCAGCATCTCTTTCACAAAGTGGACCCAAAATGTAGGCATTTGGATCAATTTCCTCTTTGTTAGAGAGTTGATAGTAAACCTCCCTCAACACTCAGCTTGGCCACACTCAACATCATGAAAGTTACAATAAACTCTTATCTTAAAACCAAAACTAAGTGTCTGACCTCTAAAAAATGTCTGGAAGTTATGGCTTCATTTCTAGAACTCTAATCAAATCCAGGGATATTATGGTCAATGATGTAAAAACCAAGTGTCCCAGTGCTGTTTCCAAAGAGAATTTTCACATTTTTTTACTCACCTCATTAATAATGCCATATAAAGTTTGTGTTTTTCAGGATCAGGCTATCAGTTAATATCACAATAATATTCTTATGATGCACTCTGGAATTGGGTTATGATTATAACCAACAAGTCTGAAATACCTTATTATTTGGCAAGATTATGAGAAACCTTAGAAATATTTCATATTTCCTTTATAACCAGTATTTCATTAAAACTTGGGACAAGCATTATCATCAACCTAATCCTTAATAGACTCATATATTAATGGATGCTACTTTATCTGCCAAACTTTCTATAGTCTAATTTCAGCAAACATAAAGCTTATAGGTCATACCTCTGTTGTAGTAACCCTTTTAGTGAGAGAAAAATTAGTTTACAGGCCATAAAAGGGGCACATTTAATTCTAGACCTTATAGGGAACAATTCATTCCTTTTGCAGAACTCCCACCCTCTGGAAAATAGGTGGAATACAAAATGTCAAGGAGTCGTGCTGGAATGAGTGCTTAAGATGGTATTTAATACAGCAGAGTCAAGATACAGTAGTAGACACAGTAAAGAATGTGGAGTGTGTAGATACAATAAAGAATTTTGGCATATGATCTGACATCTGTTATTTGAAAGAGGAATAAGTTAGGGAAACAAATGACTTTTAGTTTTCATGCATGCAAAGGTACGTTAGTTATTACAAAAGTTTTGTTGTTTTATGTGCTTAAAGAAACGCATATGCATCGAAACATTTTTTTTAAAAATAAATCACTCAATAGGCTTAAGAAAAATACTCTAGTAGTTTATATTTCATTGATCTGACCTTTTGATTCAAGATCAGTGAGTAAATCCAGGATGAAAACCAAAAAACAGAAATGAATCATTTACCATGGAAAAGGCATTTCCAGTCTCAGCTAACCTCGACTAGTTTTTATTGCATTATTTTTTGAAATGCCAAGAAATTGACTTTGGCCGTAATATCTGCTGTCCAACTAAATCACAACTGTCTATACACAATTGTTTGTAACAATAAGGTAAACACCATTAGTGGACAACCTCCCTCCAGAGGGAAAGGGATATTTGTAGGTGTCTAACACAAGGAATCAAGTAACAATCAGGCTGGGGCTGCAGCAAGCAAGAGAGGTTTGTTAATCCTTGCCCAAGAAAGGGGTTTCAAATGGCCTTAAATTTTTCAAAATTGCATTTGTCCTAATCGTACATGTTCTTTTCAGTTTTCGGAAATGAATTGTGGTAAGACTAAAGAGAAGGGGGAAAAAACACCAACTTAAGACTCATTTTGCAAGGAGATCAGGGGGACTGAAAATAAAAATAGAAATGCAAAGGTTTAAGGGTAATTGCATACAACATAGGGAAATGAAACATCATGAAACCTTGCAGTTTCCACCAAAGCATTAAACCCCTTACCTGACAGAAATTCAGTACAATACACACACTGATTAACAACTCCACCATTACTAGGGCTGCTGTGTAAAGCCAAAAAAAAAAAAATCTACAATATTCAAAAACAGAATTCTCCTAAGACTTGAGAAAAATAGAGTGAAAAGGCATTGTTAGCTAAGCTCTTAGCTAAATCCACTCTTAATGACTCCCAGTATTTAAACTATCATGGAGTAAAGCCATGAAAATAAAAATTTCAATTTGAAATTTTATTAGCATGTTGCCAAAATGGTCAATAAAAACATCAACACATAGGCTTTGCTGACACAGTTGGAAAAAAACGGCTCTCTCAGGTTCAGAACTTTTAATTTCCACTTCCCCACCTTTTACGGTTTACTATGTTAGGAAAAAGCCAAACGAAACATACTGGCTATGGTGTTGTAATAATGCTGGTTTCTGAAATGTTGCCAAGTCTTCCCTCTCCCTCTTCACGAACCTCAAATCCTACGGACTCTCAAATGCAGCCCTAGGAGGGGAGCATTCTAGGGATATGAACAGGACCCCTTCTCCGCAGATTCAAGTACCCAAACACCTGAACTTTCTCTTTGTGGGGAAAAGGGACTGGTGCGGGGAGGTTTTTTTTTTTCCTCACCAAAGTAGCTGCGTCATTTTCCTCCAGGGACTAAAGGCTTCCCTTCTGCCAGCGTGGGAGGCTCCCAGGCAAATGAAGGTGGGGGTGGGGGGAACGGCATTCCTTCCCACGGTGGAAAGAAAGAACTGGAAGCAAATACTCGCCCGCTGAGCCTGGAGGAGCCCGGGATTCATTGTCAGGAGCGCCCGGGGGGACTGTGGGGCTGCAAAAGTCCCGGACGGGCTCGGGAGAACCGGGAGTCCCCTGGCGCCGGCTCGTGGAATTTATTTCACAAGTATAGCAGAGACGGGCTCGATTTCTTGGAAATCCTGGGAGCTGGGGGACACAGCCAGACAGATGCTGAGTGTTGCCGCGACAAGATCCACGCTCACCCCTGTGAGCCCGCATGGGGGGGGGGGGGGAGAAGGGGGCGTTTTGCACAGTCCCTTCTAGGTGGCCAAAGTCGTTTCCCTGACGGGGGTCAGTACCAACCCACATCACATCTCTGCTCCACCCAGATGCCGCGTCTCTGCGTCTCTTTCCCTCTCCGCCCCTTAAAACACCTGGGTGGGAGGAAGGCGGGAAAGTGCACGGGGCTGGAGGCTTGGGAATGCCTTTCAACATGACCATCACCTATAGGGGGTGCGGGGTGGAGGGGCTCAGACAGGAGCTCACGGATGCCCTCTCCCTCCCGGGGGACCAGTTCCTGAGACTTCCTGCCCTTTGGCCGTGGAATGCGGTGTAGGGGTGCAGCCTGGGCACCGGCCACTGGCGGCGCGGAGTTGAAACACGCGAGGGAGCTGGGAGTGGCGGGGGCGGGGGGCTCGGGTATGTCAATCACCGCTGCCGGCCCGGGTTGGGGAAGGGAGAACGAACAAACGGGCCGCTCGGAGGAGGGGGTGGAGGTTGGGGGGGGGGGGGAAGACCGGCGGGGCGCGCCCCTTCCTCCCCAAGCCCGGGGCTACTCCTTGTCGTCCACGAGGTCCAGATCGGCCAGCTCCTGCAGCACGCGCAGCCGGCCACTGGCGTCGATGCGGCGCTTCTCGCGGATGAGGTCTTCCAGGCTGTGAAAGCGGGCGGTGTGCACCTTGTTCTCGCCCAGGTGCACCTTGAGATAGTACTGCTGCTGCGGGGGCTGCGTGCCGGCCGGCACCTCCCCGCCCGCCTTGAACTCCCGTTTGCCAAAGCGGCACCAGGCGGCGAAGCTCTCCGAGTTTGTCCAGCAGATCTCCTCGCTCTTGAGGCCCAGGTGGCCGCAGGCGTTCTGCACCACCAGCTCGGCCACCAGCGGGCGGTAGCGGTACCAGCTATTCACCACCCGGCCCACGTTGGCCGCGCCCGCCTCGTACAGGCTGTCCTGGCGGATCTCGCCCTGGTGCAGGTGGATGATCTGCCCGCCGCCCACATAGACGGCCCAGTGCGGGGCGGGCGCGGGCGGCTCGGGCGCGGGCTGCAGCCACAGCAGCTCCAGCAGGTCGCCCGGCTCGCACAGCGCCGGCAGCGCGGTCACCGCGTAGACGCTCAGGTCGGCGCCCAGTGGGCCGCCGCTCACTTTGGAGAAGATGCATTCCTGGCCCCGGAAGGCGGAGAACTGAGTTTCGTTGAGGACCAGCTGGTGCAGCAGGTGGTGGTGGTGGCGGCGGCTTGGGCTCTCGGGGCACGGAGAGCAACCCGGGGGCCCCTTCACGCCAAACTTGTCTGCCTGGCCGCGTTCGTCCAGGTCCTCCTCCTCATCCGAGAAGAAGTAGGCGACCCCGACCCGCAGCTCGTCTTTCTCTATTCCCGACGGGTCCCCGGTGGGCAGCTCGCTGTAGTTGAGGTGCGTGATGCGGTCCAGTTGGTTGCCCATCAATGACGCGGCGAGGCCGGGGCCAGGAGCGGGGGGATCTGCGGGCAGCACAGAGGAGTGGCAGAAAAGCGCTATGAGAATCGGGGGCTCAGGTCCCAGGAACCGGCCAGCGCGCCGGGACTGGCCCGCCACCCCGCGCGCCAGCTCTGCACTCGCCCTCATGCTTTCTCGGGGCACCCGGGGGAGATCAGAAGCCACTGCCTCCACCCCAGCTTGGAACCCCGATCTCACCCCCACTGGAGGAAAAGACCCTGCGGCTTGAGGGGTGTGCGGGGTCCCAGGGAGGAGAACAAGAGAGGCTGATGACGGCGTGGAAGACGAACACTCGGGAAAGGGCAGAGGGATGGGTTAGGAGGGTACAAGGGGCCACTGAGGCCCCGACCTCAGAGCAAGCAACACTTACATATCTGTCCCCGCTCTTTCCCGCACGCCCCTCAGTTTTTGCACCGGCTCGCACTCCTTCTGACACCGCCGCGCACAATGACAATCTGACATTCGCAGGCACTCACTCGACACCAGCAAAAGAAAAGGAGGAAAACAAAAAGAAAACAAAACAAAACAGAAAAAAACCCGTGCACATTCGAAGTCCAGGCACGGGCAATTTGCCAGGGCGGTGGGACAATGTCACAGACCCACAATGCCAGACGTTCGCGACAGACACCCCGAGAATCCACGTTCGCGCACGGTCCCAGCCCCACGCGTGCACGCTCGCCGGTGCACGTCCCCGAGCCCCGCGCACACCTGCCCACACGGGCGCCGCACGCTGCCCCTCACTTCTCTGGCTTTCTCTTCCACGGAACCCATCGGGCTGGCTGCGCAAGGGCGAGGTAGCTGGGTCTGAAATATCCTAACAAAGAGGCAAGGGAAGGACGGGGAAACCAGAGCCGTGCATGTGTGCAGGAGGAGGCTGGGGGGCCCGAGTTACGTGGGGGAAGCTCCACTTGCAGCCCCAATACCCCTCTCCCTCCTACCCAGCAAAGGGTCCACATCATCGGACGAAAAGAAATAAAAAGAAGAAGAAGAAGAAAGGTTCCCGAGCAAAGCAAGGCGCCTCTCCGTACCGGTGATTTCCCTGCTCCCGAAACCCCAAACTCCTTTAAAGTCTCCTGGTCCCCATGGGTGCAGCGGAGGCGGCGGGGGCGAGCGCAGCTCCTGGGCGACGCGTGGGAATGCGGCTCCGCTCGGCCCCGCGCGCACGGGGTGCGGTGCGGTACCCGGCGCGGTGCCCGGAAGCCGGCGGGGTCCGAGCAGGCTGGGGAAGCCTCTCCACCTGGGCAGTCCCGACTCCGTTCTGGCTTCGCCCCGTGCAGCCGACGACTCTAAGTAGCAGGAGCAGCCGGTTCCCGGGCCCGCCCCGGGAGGCGCTCATTGGTTGGGGCGCGCGCCCAGGTCCCGTCAATCTCCGGAGGAGGAGGAGGAGGAGGGGGAGGAGGAGGGGAGCAAGGGCGGGTCTCCAGCGCAGGCTCCGCCCCTCCTCTCCCTGGCCTGCTGCCCCCACCCCTACCCCCACTCCCCCAAATCGCGCGCCTCCCATCAAGAGTCGAATGTAGAACGCCGGCTGGGAACCCTCGGGGCGGGGGTAGGGTGTTTCTTCCCAATCTGGGGGCGTTTCAAACCCCCGATTCTCCCACTCCGCAATCCCCGGTGCACCCTCACTCAGGCTCCTCCAAACCTGCCGTAAGTGAGCACGAACGACCCGCGGACATCTGTGTCCAGGGAGTAGAGACTCCAATGAAGTGGAGTCACGCGGCGAGGAACCCGCCCCTCCCCCCCCAGTGAGCCCCAGTGAGCAGGACCGGCTAGGGAGGCACATTTTTTTTTTTTGGAGTGGACACTTGGGGTTTCTTCTGTTACTGAAGGTCCTTGGGTCGCTGCCCTGCTCGAAGACCGTTTCCTGTCCCGCACAGCAACCTTTGAGATTGTGCCCACCACATTCGGCTCCTCTCCTTTGACAGAGAGAAGCTGCAGAGCCAGCACTGGCGCCCGGTTTAAAAGGAGCGCGGTGCCGAATGCGCCCAAGAAGTCTGAGCGTTGGCAAGCTCCTTCTTCCCTGCCCGGACCTATTTCGGCTTCCAGTTTTCTGTCTATGAAAGGATTGCATCACAAATGCAGACTGTTGTAGGGCGGAGCGATGCTTTCTAAACCCCAGAGCTGTCCTTTGCTGAGGGATTTTTCTTTTTGGCTTTGTGTGCGTGTGCGAGAGAAAGAGGGGTGTCCAGTAGATATTACTGATTGCCTTTCTGGATGGAAAATTAACGAGCGAACGTGCTCTCGATATCGGAGGCTGAAAGATGACTTTCACGCGTCTAAGTTTAAAAAAACGTACAAGGTGAAGCTTTAGAGAGTTCATGGGCATCGGGCTCTACTTTCAACGCTGGACCAGTTTTCTTTAGACACCTACTCTCTTTCCCCAGGGAAAATCGGGCGCTTCCTCTCTGCACCCCCTTGACAGCAGATATAAACCCTAACTCATTGTTAAAGCTCTTGCAATGTTTTATTACAAACCCGTGTTGACTTTCTTCCTCCTCACAAAGTGAACGCCTGGAGGATTGGCTTGCTCTATAGCCCTTTGTATTCTGGGAATCTTTCACAAAGAGGTGTGTATTATAGCCGACTCTGTAATAAAAATGAAAACACTGGTTATGAGTCGACCAGTGGCCAGGCAATTGCTAAAAGATTCAGTTAGTTTATTAAATGTCCATGCCTCTCTGGGGAATTCACTAATTTTTTGTATTGCAACAAGGGATGAACCTGAGATCCAGATACCACTGCTGCTGGAAGATCTAGCCAGTTGTCTATAGGAATCCAGGGGCAATTTTTAACAGAGTACTCTTTGTTGTGTGCGTACGATTTTAGTTTGTTAGATGAGAAAGCAGGTGTCTTAGAGAAGATAGCTGGTGATCCAAGGTTACATGAAGGGCTGATGTGTATATTATGTCCCCCCCATTTGTAGATAATTATACTTTTATACTTAAAATTATTTTTGTTGGTTTTGGAAACACAATAAGTGGCGGATGGCTGAAAGGGGCCATTCCTGGTGATTCTTGGGGACTATGTGGACTTGAGAATTGAATTTGGGCCATCTATATGGACTTAGCTCTGGTGTCCTGCTTAAATATTTTTATTTTGTTTTTTAATTTTGGGGTTTTTTCAGGGGTTACTCCTGTCACAGTGTTCAGACACCACTCTTAGTGGGACCCAAGAGACCAAATTGGATACCAGGGATTGACCCCAATTCGACTGACTGCAAGGCAAATGTGTCACCCTCTGTACTATTTTTCCAGTTATTTTAAAACTGTAAAGTCTCTAGTTCATGCTTACTTTTTAAAGTTTTATATATATTACAATCATTTTATAAAATTAGATGTCCAATAAATATTTCTAAGAGAAGTGCATTAAAATGATCATCAGCACACATTGGATGTATATAAATCAGAAGTTCAGCTATAATGCATGTGTGTTGATATGGTGACACAAGTTACCATTTCTTCATTCTCGGAACTGAGCATAGATTGGGATGAACTTTCTTTCTTTTTCTAATGGCTTTAACATATTTATTTCAAGCCTGAAGACAAAAGAAACTGAAACAGCATCAGACATTCAGGAGTGAGATTTTGGTCTGGGTATAAACTGGATTTAGGGGTCTCTGGGAGTGAGAATATGTGAAAAGTTCATTGCTGGGGTCTGTGATTCAAAGTATCAGAGGTTGATGCTGAGGAACATTATTTTTTCCTTCAGTCTCTTTATCCCAATATCAAATTGTGTGCACTCACACACATACAACACAACAGTTTGATGTTAAACAACTTTTTCCTATACTCTTTTTGTCCTAAGATCAAATTGGTATGTGCGCACACATTTGCAACATACCTGCTTAGATTGCTATGTTCTTTCTTCTCTGTACTATTTCATTTTGCATGACTTCATTCTTTTATAGACTAAACAGCCTGTTCCTCTTTGCTGTTTCCCAACATTCTAAAGGATAATTAACATAAGATAATATCCAGACACATCATAAGATATTTTCTACCCATTTTCCCCATTTTCCATAATTACCTCACCAAATATATAATATAATATAGTATGTATTATTATATAATATTATATAATAATATAATGCCTCTCTGAGAGCCCGGTAGGCGACCGAGAGGTTCCCGCCTGCACAGACAGAGCCTGGCAAGCTCCCCGTGGAGTCTTCAATGTGCCAAAAACAGTAACTATTACAGGTTTCATTCCCCTGACCCTGAAAAAGCCTCCAATTATTTGGGAAAGATGAGTTAGGAGAGGCTGGTAAAATATCAGAGCTGGGATGAATATAGACATTACTGGTGCCCCCTCCAGTAAATCGAGTAACAACGGGATTACAATGATACAGTGAATGTCCAGATTTTGAGATAGAGTTTAAAATAGTAGTATGCAGGTTTTTTTTAAATCTTCTTTCCATCCTTTCCTTCACAAGGTAAAAGGCTAAATACTTTAGTTTTCCCAACTTCAAAAAATACCCTGAGGGTAAGCCCCCAGCCTTGGAAAAGGCAGAGAACACTCTGTACACTGACAAAGCTTGGAAAAGATAGACTGAAGGAATTTTTCTACTTTCTAAGCCTTTTTGGTAATTACAAAGATAAGGAAGAATTAGGCCACTCAACTCTAACATTGTTGGTATTAGAAAAATCTAACCTTTGTTTTCATCACAAAAGGTTTGCTAATTGTTTTATCTATTATTTCTCATCCCATTCTGTCTTCTTTCACAATGAGGAAATAATTTCATCAAAAGCAGAATATTGCCATCAAAAACACTAACTCTGGAAGCCAACTGTTAGAGTCTTTGTCAGCATTTTATTCTAAGACTTTGAAGGCTGCTTCATTTTACTAGACATCAGCATAACTGTAGAATGTGGATAAAATTATATTTATATCATTGAATTGATACATTTGAGCGCTATGCCTGGTACACAGTGAGCTTTCAATCAATGTTCCCTTTGTTATTAGTGATGGAGAAGAAGAGAGAGTCACATATTCTACTTACTATGAGAACTGTCCAGTTCTCTTTTTCCCCAATAGCTATCCCTGGCTGTCCCAGCCTGGAAACTGGGATGTCTGCTGACTTAAGATAACAAGAGTTGATCTATTCTGAGGCCAACTGGAGGGCTCAAGTTCTGCATAGATTTTGTGTGTGGGACCCACACTACTTTTATTTTTGCTTTCTGGGTCAGACCTGGTGATAAACAGGGGTTACTCTTGGCTCTGCACTCAGAAATTACTCCTGGCAGTGCTCAGGGGGTCATATGGGATGCTGGGAGTTGAACCAGATCGCCGCATGCAAGACAAATTCTCTACCTGCTGTGCTTTCGCTCCAGCCCCCAGGCCCACAGTACTTTGAGTTGCTTTAAAATGAACATTTCTTGGAGGAAGAATATCATATATATATATATGATATTCTTCTTCCTATATATATATGAGGATTAACTGAGAATTAATTCAAAATCAGTTATACGTATGTTAGTTTTTTTCTAGGAATGCTATGTGGTGTTTGATCTCATTTCCCCCTTGGTTCCAATATAATCCTTTCTCCAAAATACTATTGACCAAATCTTTTACTCAAACTATTGGCCCATTAAAATTGGCCCTGGAGGTAAAGGTTTAGAGAGAATCCTCTATCAATACTTCTTTACATCAAGCTTGCTAAAAATGGTTTTCTGGTTTTCACTATATACTCTAGCTCGACTCTAGCACTTTGCCTTTATTAAGCTGCCCTTCTTGTCCCTGACTTCCTTAGACAGTCAACACACTCACCTTAGTCTTGGTAGGCAAAGAGTAACCTCCCCATCCAGGGTAGAGACAGTGATATAGTTTCACAAACTCCATTTCAGTTCCTGCTGCTCACAGTTAAATTGCCTTTTCCTACTTATAGTGAAGTTAGGTGGATATAGCATAACAGTCTGCCCAGTGGGATGTCAGCAGAAGTATAGCCAACTGCTGTCAGGCTTGGCCTTGTAACTGAAAATATTAATGTTGTCTGTCTGTGCAAGTCCTTTCTCATTTGGCCTTATATCCCAAAGTCATGGCAGGGCTCCAATGCTTTAAAAGACGGAGAAGCCATTAGGTGAAAGGGAAATAGGGTTCCTGATTCACAGTTGAGAATAAAATTTCCCTCTGGAACGATTGACCTCACATTGTGATGTGAAGTAAAACTTACTGAGTCAAGCTTCTGAAATATTCTGTGGCCTTTGCTGCAAGAGTTAGCCTATCCCTGACGTGCATCCTCTCCTTTATTCTAGACCTAACTCAGAGCAGCAAATATCCTAACTTCCCCATTGTAT